ATAAAATATATTTATTGTATTTATACTCATATTTTTTTCAGAGAATTTTATATTCTTTTTTTTTGTACTGGGGATCTAAGGCAGCGGAACCGCTGAGCTAAATCCCCGGCCCCTGAATTTTATATTCTTCATCCAAGTGTTTAATTCATTCATAATATAATTCAATATAAAATTCAAATTTGTCATTTGAATGAGATATAAAATAGGAGCCCAATTTAATTTTCATGTAAACGTTAACCTCAGTTTATCGAATTTTTCCTCACAACTTCCTATTGGATTCTGTATGAGACTGAATTAAGTTTACGTGTTAACTTTGAAAGATTTGGCATTTCTTTTATAATAAATATTCCATCTAAGAATGTGACAGGGCTTTCTATTTCTTCATATCTTATGTTTTTCAAGACGATCTTATACTTTTAAGTTGTGTGCCTTTCTTCTTAACTTCATTCCCAGGTATTTTAAAATTCCTGTTACTGTTATGAATAGAATACCTTCCTTTTTTAATGTCTAGGAATTTACTGCTAATATAGAAAAATCAAGATTATTAATTCTAATAGGACTTTTACTAGAGGTATGTAGGTATTTAGGTTTCTTGAGATAGCTAACCATAGCAACAAAATAGCTTTATCTCCTCTACTTTTCATAGCAGTTATTTTTGTCATATTTCACTTTCCAAAGTCTCCAAGAAAATATTAAAGAATAATAGTGTTTGCAGGCAGACTTTCTAGTTTCTGATTTGCAATGCCATAGTTTCAGTTTTGCTTAGTATAGCATTTGTTCTTGATTTATGAGCTTTATTGTATCACTCTATTCCTATTCTGCTTGAAGTTTATCAAGAATTGCTATTAATTTTTATCAAATGCCTTTTCAGCACAGCTGACTTGTAGGTTATGTCCTATTATTTGTGTAATAGACTATGTTAATAGGCTATGGTTAATACCTTTCCTGCTATGGATTGAAATTTGAATTCCAGGAATAAATCTTCTTAGTCACTGTGTTAGTTTAATAGAGCTGCCCTAACAAAGTACTACAACTTAGGTGGCTTAAAATAATAGGAATCTTTTGTTTTGCAGTTCTGGAGATTTGGGAGTCCAAAAACAAAAAATCATCAGTGAGGTGACCCTCTGAAATCTACAAGGGAAATTCTTTCTTGTCTTTTCCTAGTGTCTGGCGGTTTGCTGGCAGCCTGGGCTGCTGGCTTCCTGTGTTGTAGATGCATCACTGCAATCCTGGCTTTACACTGTGCTCCTATCTTCTTGGCTCTTTTCCTGCATCTTCACACAGGCATCTTCTGTGTTTCTTCATCGTGTCTTTTCTCCTCACATGTCTGTTTCTGTATTTAAATTTCCCTTTTTTACAGGCTACTAGTCATATTGGAATAGGGCCCCTCTAAAGTCTTCATATTAGCTTCATTACCTCTGTAAGACCCTGTTTGTACATTTAGCTCATGTTCTTTTGGATAGGGGTTAGGACTTGACCAAATGATTTTCAGGGGGACACAATTCAACCTGTAATAGTCAAACTCTAGTAATTTTGATATATTACTGGATTTTATATTGTAATGTTTTACATAGAAATTAAGATCTGTATGTATAAATGAGACTTGTAATATAGTTCTTTCTTTTTCTACTTTTTTTAAAGTTATGCTGCTATTTACTTGTAACTTGGAAGTATTCTATCTTTATGCATGGTCTGGAATATTTTACTATTAGAATTATCAGTGCTTTGAAAAAAGAACTTAACTTAAAAACCATCGGGCCAGATCTTCACTTATTTTTTCTTTTAGGATACTTAGTACATTCAAATTTCATTACTTCTTTGATCATTTTGCTAATTGGTATATTTTTAGGATATCTTTCCCCATTTCAGTTTGTTTCCTTGTTACCAAAGGTAGTAATAGCCTACAGTTATTTTATCTCTTTTATATTCTGTTTTTGTGTTTCCTTTCTTATTTCTAATCTTATATAATTGAACACATAAAGATTTTTTTGTTTGTTTTAGTTTTGGCCCACAAGTTATTTTATTAATATTTAAAATATTAGCTTTTGGATTTATTATTCTTCATCCATTTATTTTTTAGTTTTTATCAATTGTTCTTTTCCTGGTTTGTTTTATCCTGTTGCAATTTTTCTAATTTCTTAAAATGAAGAAAACTCTTCTATCTGTTGCATTAAAATGCCGTGAGTAACCTGGCATGGTAGCACACACCTGTAATCCCAGCATTTAGGAGGCCGAGGCTGGAGAATCAACAAGAGTTTGAGGCCAGACTGGGCTAAAAAGTGATTTCAAAGCCAGCTTGAACTACATAATGAGAACCTGTCTCCAAAAAACAACAACAAAATTTACTAAGATCCCATGAGTAGAAGAAATTCCCATTTTTACATAATTACTTCTGAAATAATGGGAATAGATAAATAAACATAGAATTAAATAATTGGTGCTGAAATTTTACCTCTGGAAATCAGAAACAAAATATTTTCATCATTACTTTAAGCTCTCTAACGTGGTATTTGGATAGTATTAAAATATTTTAATTAGTTTCCTTTCTAAACAAGGAAATTACTGATTTTAAATTGGTAATATCTAATTAAA